TGACCTGTAGACTCCAGCGAAAGATTTGAGAATAAATAAGATCCGTGGTGTTTTCATGCAAGATAACCTTCCTAATGAGATAACAGATAGGAAGGTTGTGAACCTTGCCTCTTCAAGTAGTAAAAGTATACATTTTCTATGAAGAGTAAAATGCATAATGTCGTCTAATAGTTTATTGTGAAACAGGGAGAAGAATAATCAGGTTCAGTAACATCACAACATCAGATGACTTGTGAATAATCTCATTCAAGAATACTTTCTTATTATACATCACAGTTCTTAGACTTTTCACCATCATCGTGAAACATTAGACGCATTGCTTTGCTTAATTTATATAAAATTTCTTCGTACTTCTCCACCTCATGACAGCTTCGCGTTGTCATTAATTCCATAGTATAAACAGTAAACTATAGATATCTCATTGTACCAGTAAAAAATTCATTTATTTGCAAAAATTTGTTTGGAAAGGTGAGGATAATCAGTCAGAATGGGAATATTCAAGGTGTTCATCATCCATTGCATTTCGTGAATATCATTCACTGTCCATACTGCTACATACCTCCCATACGAACGTTGTCGATCGACAAAGCCGCTTAAATTGTTTAATACATCAGGTGATGTTAACGATATGTTTTCGAACCTCGAGATATCCTTATTGTTAGTGAGAAGTAAGTCAACTCCTAAAAACCACGGAGTGATCGTTTCAAGCGCACTAACGTATATAAGATCAAAAAGCTCGAATGCTTTTTGTTTCGATCTTTGATACCTTGGTCGCTTGTTCTCCAAGTCATGATAAGAAAAGAACTTTCGACGCCACGTGAGACCTTGCAAAACAACAAATGATAATCAGTTTGATGAAATTCATGAGCAACCTGTTACTATTCTAGGATTCAGCCGTTTTATACGATAAACGACAATCGGATAGAAACTACATACTATTGCTTTATCGAACAAGCTGTATCGTTCGAATAATTCAGAAATGATTTTAACAAGCTGAAATGAAGATCATACTCAGATTATCATTCATGACTCACAGCGTCATCGGAATCCTTCACATCGAACAACATC